CCTTAAAACAAACAGAAATGCCTTGTAAGTGATTCAGAGTGAAGAACGGTCCGTGAACGAGGGAAAGAAAAGAGTCTTGTATGACTGAACATGTTCCTTAAATTCCCGATAAACTCCAGCTTGCTCTTTGACAAAGAGCAAAATTGAACGGTTTATAAGTTTTGAGAGCAATGCCAGAATTTAGAGAATTCAGGGTCTTTGCTGCCCTCTACTGATTAAAATGAAGATTGCTTTTCTGCCTTGTGCTATGTGAGCCATGGTACACAGACAGGGCCGAAAATGGGCATGAGGTTTCACTTCAAAGTGAGCTTGTGTTCTAGCTCAAGGGGCATGCAGGAAATGTTTTAGGGGTGTTTAGAATGCTCTGAAGTGGACGGCTACTCAAGATGGATCTGCGGTGAGTGATGGAAGGGTAGCCGGAAGCTGTGTGCTCTGAGCCTGGCCCCAGAGCCTTCCAGGAGTTAGAGAAGTGCATGGAGACTCCTGGGACAGGAACCAAGGGTAATGAGAAAGACAGACTGGGGAGATGTGAGCAGGGGTGCCAGCTGTCACAGAGGGAGCATGGATTCTATTCTAGATAGATTTCTTTTATTCAAAAGAAGTTTTCAAATGGTTTCAATTAAAATTCAATATTTTCAACTTAAAAAACCTGTGTGTGCTGTGTATGCATTCATGTGGGGACGAGAGGTTGCCATTGGATTTCCTCCGCATTGGCTCTCTACTTTATGTTTTGAGGCAGGGTCTCTCACTGAAGCTGGAGCGCTCACAGACTGGCTGGACGGGAAGTAAGCTTGCTCAGTAATTTGCTTAGTTCCATCAGTATGTACTTAACTTGTGAGCACTGGGTGGCATCCTCAAAACCTGGCTTGACAGAGCATCGTGTTCTACACTTGTAACCCCAGTGCTAGGAAGAGGAAGATGGGTGGATCTCTTGCTGACCAGGCAGTCTGGCCTACTTAGCAAGCTCTAGGCCAATGAGACATCTTATCTCAAAAAACAAGGTGGACAGGGCCTGAAGAATGGCCACTGAGGTCGTCCCCTGGAGTGTGCATGTATACACACACGCCATATGTTTATTACAGGATATCCAAGACAATTTGTCCCCAAATCTCAGGAAGTTACATTCAGTAAGTAAACATTGAGGTGACAACTGTCCTCCAGGTGGCTGATGGCAGTGGCAGGAGAGGAAGTGGGCAGTGCCAGGAGTAGGGTAGGTTGCGAGGTGACAGAAATAGAAGGTTTAGGGGTGCCTTGGGAGGTCTTGGCTTCAGGATCTGTTGGTGACTCAGATATGGAGGACAGAGTTAGTCACAGTGGCTGAGACCAGAGCGAGTCAGCTCTGGCACATTTGAGAAGCAGTGAAATCTGCAAACCCTCTTCCTGGCTCCTCTGGGGCCAGTGGGCCACCGTCACTGGTGTGGCCACCTTGCTCTGTTCTTCGGACCAGCCTGGGAAATTAACCCCTGCAGGGCTTAGCAAGGTAGTTCTCATAAAAACAGCCATGAAGCCTCAGGCTCACGTGAAGGTACCACAAACGTCAAGCAAGGAGAATTACAGCCCCGCAGGCTCGTAAAAGGGAAAGCGTGTCATGGCTTGAGGAAGCCACAGCTACTGCGAGGGCACCGGGCTGTCTTTCCGAGCTGTATTTTAGCTGCGGGGAGAAACAAGTGGAGGAAGCAGAGAGCTGGCCGAGGTCAAAGTGGCCCCCAAAAGGCTCCCCGTTATCAAACCCGTCAGCAATGCTTCCCTTATGCTCAGGGCTGCTTCAAGGTGAAGTGGGACATATTTTGAACTTGTACTAACTCAGCCACGAGGAGGAGAAAAGATAGTAACAAACTCTGCCTCAGGCAGCCTCAGATGCTGGGGAATAGGCAGCATCCAGCGTGCTATCTTTGCCCATCCTTGACCCACCTGTCAGTTAATTAGTAGGAAGCCCAGGTGTTCTCCCTGCCTTGATCGGCTCCCCTGCTAACCATCTGTCCAGTTGGCTTTTGATGCACCCCACATGTCCAACAGCCCTGGCTTCCAGCCTCTTTCTTCTCCCCCTTTTTATTTCACTTTCTCTTTGCACACAACTGCCGCCGACTGGAAATCAGTAGGATCTGATGTTAAGCGTGGCATTGTGTTGGGGCCCTGGAACTAGTACGGGGTGGGGGGAGGGGGGATGTGATATGAAGAATCTACTGCAAAGGAACTAGCAGTTGGCTATGTGAGTAACTTCTAGAAGTGTACACATGCACATGCACACACACACACAGAGAGAGAAAGAAAGAGAGTTAGAAAAGAATAGTAGCTATTTTTAAAATAAACTTTATTATTTTTCTTTTTAAAAAACTTGCAAATAAATAAAAGCATCACACACCAGAATTAACTAGACATAAAGTCCTGGCAACTTAATGAACTTGCACAGAGTTAGAGCTGCCATAGCTCACATCTGCACTGAGGCTGACCACATGCCAGGCTTGCCTGCCAGGGGCATTGTCTCTGTGGTTGTTACCATAACCACAGGAGGCAAGTGCCACTGCAGTTCCCAGGTTCAGAAGAGGAAGCTGAAGCTTGGGGGAAAGGGTGACTTCTTCAGGGTGTCACAGCTAGTGAGTGCTGGGTGACTTCTTTGGGGTGTCACAGCTAGTGAGTGCTGGAACCCTTTCTGAAGTTTGGACAGTGTTCAGTTAGAGGCATCACTCATGATCAATGATAGGATTCCTGAGAGCATGGGGACGGTTTGCCGGGTGCCCAGTGGGGACACTGCCTTTTGTTTCCCCCAGCATCTCTTCTGGGCACGCGCACCCCCAGTCTGATCTAGACCCCAATCCTGAAAACAATCCTCTCCATCCTAGTAATAAACTGATAATGAATCAAAATTGTATAAACATTTCTACATGTTCATAGAACACTTTAGATGCAAACACCAATAACCCTAGGAAATGTCAAGAAACTCAATAAATAAACAAGCGTAACATATACAAGTACTTTAGAGATAAATCTTATAGCCTATGTTTAAAAATATTTGCTATTAAAAATTACAGATTGAGCCAGGCAATGGTGGCACATACCTTTAATTCCAGCACTCTGGGAGACAGAGGTATGCATATCTCTGTGAGTTTGAGGCCAGCCTGATCTACAGAGGGAGTTCCAGGCAAGCCGGAACTACACAGAGAAATCCTGTCTCAGAAAAAGTAAATAAATAAAAATTATGCTTTTCATTTATTTGTTTGTTGCTTTGTTTTTACTTTGTTGTTGTTGTTAGTCTTTTGTCTTGTTTTCTTTTGTTTTGTTTTGAGGTAGTCTTGTTATATAACACAGGCTACCTCCTAACTCATGAGCCTCTTGCCTCAGTCTCCCAAGTACTTAGATTATAGACAAGTGTTCCTGGAATGATTAATACTGATCGTCAATTTAAAACTACCTAGAGTTGCTGGATGGTGGAGCACACAGCTTTAATCCCAGCCCTTGGGAGGAAGAGGTAGGTGGATCTTTGGGTTTGAAGCTAGACTGGTCTACAGAGGGAGTTCTACAACAGCCAGGGCTACACAGAGAACCCTGTTTCAAAAAACCATTTTAAGTGACTAATTTGACTACCCTGCCCCCTGAGCTACTGAAGTGATCTCTGACACAAGCAGTTTTTCATTCAATCAAACCCTGGGCCTTGCCCACTCTAAACAGGTACTCTGCCATGGAGCTATTTTCCCAAATCCTCTCCTTTAAATTTTAGGATGTAAGTTTAATCATCCACGAGTTCTGCCTAGATTTGAGTTGTCTCTGGCCTGAAGAGCCTTTGAAGACCATTTGTCTACATCAGATGCAACTTTCCAGGGTAAATTTATTTGTTTTGAATCAAAGTCACTTTGATTTTCTTTAGTCAATACTACATTTAACTGGATGCAAACATAGTCATTTTAAGTTTTAATTTGTGTTAGTTAGCATTGCCAGCAAAATCCAGACGAATTGGGCCGCAGACTATTAGTTCATATCTATTTCTTAGCTAAACTGTAAGACAACTGAGGGCATTCTGTACTACCAAGAAAAATAGATTCGGACTCAGGCATGGAGAGAGAGAGAGAGAGAGAGAGAGAGAGAGAGAGAGAGAGAGAGAG